AGACAGTCAGCAAAGTTGAAAATTAAATGGGGAGGCATAAGACCCTCCACATCCCAAGCACGTCCTCAGATATGCATTTCTTGCCTTGTAGTAAGAACCAGAAAGAAAACCCATGAAGTAAATAGATCCCTGAAGTAGCAGAGTAGGAAGGAAGACTGCAGTTCAATCTGAGGCAGCATTTACCATCTAACCTCTACTGGAATGTCTTGAGACACAGGCACTCTCACTACCTCACAAGCACTCTAATTGTCCAAATGATCTCCTTTCTCTTCAGTTACATCCCATCTCCTTAAACCCCCAACCTAGCTCTGGACATAGGAGCAGGTAGGACCAGAGAACTCCCAGGACACGAACAGACTTCTTTTCTATCGGTTCTGAATGGGGTTAACCCCAGGCCTCTGAGGCCAAAACAGGCACCTCAAGAAGGCTGCCTGGGGCCGACCCCGTGGCACACTCGGGAGAGTGCAGCGCTGGGTGCGCAGTGACGCTCCCGCCGCAGGTTCGGATCCTATATAGGGATGGCCGGTGCGCTCACTGGCTGAGCGCGGTGCAGGCGACACCAAGCCAAGGGTTGCGATCCCCTTCCCAGTCACAAAAAAGGATAAAAAAAAAAAAAAAAGAAAGAAAGAAAAAAGAAGAAGGCTGCCTGTGGGTCTTCCAGGCTCCCAGCCCCACAGGGAGCATGTTACATAGAATTTTATTTGAGATGAAACAGCAGAGTAATAGGGGAGAGTAACTGAGTCACTTTCCATGAGAATGTGTGTTGGGAAAGGGAGGGCTGAAGGCAGCCCTTTCCCTCGCCTCGTGGGTTAATAGGTGCAAGTGTAGAGTCTACTTTTCCTGGAGATCTGACTCAGATGAACTCCTAGCTGGTGGCTCTGAACTTCCCTTTTCAGCAACCCCTGGAATCCAGACTACAGCCTGGCCCCTCCAATTACTGTGCCTGTGGGACTCTTTCCATCTGCTGGCCCCCTGGACTCTGAAGCAAGTGACATCAGCCTCTGAGTCATTGAAACAGACCACATGGTGGCAGGGGAGTGTCCATGTCCTCGCAACTTGGGAGTTCCTCCTATGAATCCATTCCACTTGCCCTCTGCAGTCAGCCTCCCTATGGCTGGCAGCTTGCACTTCACCATGTGGCAAGAGGCCAGAAGACTTGAAAGCCTGTACCCAGAGCTCAGTGTGTTGCTGAGGGCCTCTGCTGGAGGAGAGTCTGTTATCTTTTTAGCTTACAGCAGGTGCTCAAAAAGTAGCAAGCTTGGTGAATGAAACATGTGGCATTAGGGATGGAGCTGCTCATGCCCTGAGCTTCATGCTGCTCAAACTCTCAGATTCTTGGTCCTGTATTCATGAATCAGTGCTCATGAATGGTTTTAGAAGTGAACACTTAAGAAGCAGACACTGTGTTCTTTCGCAGTAAGCCCTTAACTCCTCCCTGGGACTCTGGCCCAGCACATGCCTGAAGCATATTGATGGCTGACTGGTTTCCCGAGGCTGGCTCTGGTGAGCTGAGCTTGATGAAACTGAAGAAGGCTCCATTCAGAAGAGAGAGGCAGTCCAGGAAGCCCGTGAATGTGCAGGCAAAGCAGGGAGGCCCACCAGAAGCTGTGAGACTGGTAGTGCTGATGGCCCTCCCTGCTCCACAGGCCTGGGACTCTGTGCCACCATGCCAGGTGCCTGTCAACATGGCCACATGGCTGGGAGTGTAGGCCCTGGACAAGGCACACCGGGGACTACAGAAACACATGGTTCCTGCTCTCAAATCCTTTCTTCTACTATAGCTACAAAACAGCAATTCACATTTAGAAAAATAACTTAGAAACCCTTAGAAAGTAACCTGTTGTCTTAGTCTATTTTATGTTACTATAACAGAATACCTGAGACTGGGTAATTTATAAAGAAAAGAAATCTATTTCTTACAGTTCTGGAGGCTAGGAAGTCTGGGGTCAAAGGGGAGCATCTGTTGAGTCCTGTCTTGCTGGTGGGGACTCTGCAGATTCCCAAAAAGGCACAGGGCATCACATGGCAAGGGGGCAAAAGTGTGTATGTTAGCTCAAGTCTCTCTTCCTCTTCTTATAAAGCCACCAGTCCCATCATGGGGGCTCCACCCTGACAATCTTATCTAATCCTAATTACCTCCCTAAACCCACACCCAATCAGCACATGAATTTGAGGGTTAAGTTTCCAACACATGAAATTTGGGGGATGCATTCAAACCATAGCACTTACTAACCAGTGAGGAGAAGAAACCAAAGGAAACTGTCAGAGAGAGGTGCGGAGAGGCAGGGGTGTGAGGGAGAGGGGTGATAGCTATGGTGAATAATCCACATTCCGGACTCTCACACTCTCCTTCTCCAAAATCCTTGTTTTTCACAGCTATACTACAAGGTAGGTGTCATTGTCCCCATTTCACAAATGAGAAAACTGAGGCTCTGAGAACCTAAGTAGCTTGCCTCAGTCATATGGCTTGTGAGTAGCAGAGATGCAATTTGAGTCCTCAACTCGGTGTCCCTAAAGGCCATGTGGTTTCCACTGCCCATGCTAAAAGTAACAGTGAAGAAGAGGATGTCGTACAGAACTGAAATCACAGGGTCTCCTCCTAACTCTTGCTCCTTTTTCCCTCTTCAGGTAATTTGTTCTTGGTGAGTCTGGCTCTGGCTGACCTGGTGGTGGCCTTGTACCCCTACCCGCTAATCCTCGTGGCCATCTTCTATGATGGCTGGGCCCTAGGGAAGGTGCACTGCAAGGCCAGCGCCTTTGTGATAGGCCTGAGCGTCATCGGTTTGCTCTTCAACATCACTGCCATCGCCATTAACTGCTACTGCTACATCTGCCACAGCGTGGCCTACTACCGGCTCTGCCGACACTGGCCAACTCCTCTCTGCATCTGCCTCATCTGGCTCCTCACCGTGGTGGCCTTGCTGCCTAACTTCTTTGTGGGGTCCCTGAAGTATGACCCGCACATCTACTCCTGCACCTTCATCCAGACGGCCAGCGCCGGGTACACGGTGGCCGTGGTGGTCACCCACTTCCTGCTCCCCATGGCCATCGTGTCCTTCTGTTACCTGCGCATCTGAGTGCTGGTGCTCCAGGCCCTCAGGAAGGTCCCAATGGAGAGCAAGCTGCGCCTGCGGCCCAGTGATGTCCGGAGCTTTCTAACCATGTTTGTGGTGTTTGCGATCTTTGCCATCTGCTGGGCTCCACTTAACTGCATTGGCCTTGCTGTGGCCATCAACCCAGAAGAAATGGCTCCCCAGGTCCCAGAGGGGCTCTTTGTCACTAGCTACTTCCTGGTTTATTTCAACAGCTGCCTTAATGCCATCGTCTGTGGGCTCCTGAACCAGAACTTCCACAGTGAGTACGAGAGGATCCTCTTGGCCCTCTGGAACCCATGGCACTGCTTTCAGGATGCTCCCAAGGGCAGCCACACTGAGGAACTGCAGAGCCAAGCCCCACCTGCTGTTAATGTCCAGCACCCTGTACAGACTGACACTCTCTAGCCTGGATCTGAGGCACACTAGCAGGGTGACAAACTCATGAGATGCTGGGAGTGAATCTGCTACAAGGGGAGATCAGGCAGCCTGCTGGACCATGACATCCTGTTTGCATTCACAGCCACAGCTGGTGGAACTTGGTCCTGTGGACAAGCAGCCTATCAGCACCCTGTGTTCAGGCTGGTCAGGGCATGCCCACAGGCACTAGTCCTGGCAGACACACTCTTGGTGGCAGGGTGGGGGCAGGGTGCTTACCAGATCGAGAAAGGAACAGGAGGAGGAAAGTCTTGGGGCAGAAGAGGCCAGCGCCTTCCCATGGGCTGCCCCTTATCCTCCTGCTTTGGCCTCCTCTCTGCTTTCTCCCCTTCCTCCAAGGCGTGGCAGGAATGGACCTCCTCCTGTTGGCAAGTATGGAAGAGCAAGGTCTGCAGTGCTAGAAGGTGGGTAACTCTGCAGGGGTGGCAGGGGGTGGGGTGTGTGCCAAGGGCAAGCACCCCCACTCCTTCATTGACCTTCCCTACACACACACACAC